TTTAATATAATAATACAATACTATATTATATTATCGTCTGAGTGCGTGCCAAAGTAATCGACCAAAAAAAAAAAAAAAAAACATGTAAGTAACTAACGTTGTTCCACGCCGAGTTTCTACAATAATTTATAATCTATTTTATAAACAAGCTGTTAGTTTGGAAAATAATATTTTCTAGAGTCATCTGAAAGACTAAAAAATGTTTTGGCTTGTGGAAAAATAAATAACGTTTGTTTATGGTAAGTATGACGATGACGAATAAAATTACAAAAATTAACGCAGACAACAAATAGAACTTATATTTTGGACAACGATGACATTACTATTATACAAACACCCGTGGTAAACATTTCATGTGTGTATTAAGGATAGGCTGATACCTATAGCTTATATTATAATAACAATATGAGGAAAATTCTCTTAAAACCATACCCTGAAGTCGTTATCGGAATGGGGACATTCAGCAAATAGTAACCCAATGTGTATAATTAAAATCGTAGAAAACTGTTCACACACTAATTATAATATTATTATAATTGTTATAATTTGCGATAGGTGAGTTTTGTCCGAGCTATGGTGCGGTCAAGAAATTGGCAATTTGGTATACGTTCGATCAATACGTGTCGGTATAAAAACGTAGGTAATACACAGGTAGGTGCGTTACCAACACAAGTTGAGTATTAAATTTAATTTCACATAACGTGGCGAGTTGTGAACAACTGTTGGGTTTCGTTCTTTTATGGAATGCTACAATATTGGCATATTTTCTATGATATTTATCGTGTTTTGGTTATACATTTTTTTTAATATTATTAAAATTTTAAATTACTAATCACGCCTTCTTTGTTAATTTGTATTTGTATTTTATTTATATTATTTTGTCAACAATACATTATTTAACTACCAAATTTACCATCCGAGTTACCTTTTGGTCATTAGTTTTAATCCTACACACACTCACATTCACTCGCAGGATTTGCTCGGTGATCCTATCCACTTTTTGTCGAGTGCTTTACACATAAATACACGTTTTGGTCGGTCGGTGGTAATATAAATTGTAGTACGAGAATCGTCCCGGGCCTGCTGGTTATTATTTTACCAGCACAGATAAGGTAAAAATATAATATTTGATCTCTACCTATTGTGATATTATATTTCGGTGATGGCATACACTTTTGGCTTCGTTATTGACATCGTAGGTACCTCAGGACTATGTAAAAAATGTACAAAACCTGAATGTATTCAAATTTTATATTTCATTTATCACGAAGCCGTGCGTTGTAAGACTTGCACTGCGGAACGATTCGCGTTATAATAATATATTATTAGAGCCTTTGAAAACCTGCGTAAGACTACATCTATTCCAAGTTTAATTTTACACAAGATCTTATACGTAATATACGTCTTCATATTGTATCTGTGCATCGATGGCGTGTTTTTCGATTGCCTATACCTGTACACATCGTCGTTTGTGTTGGATCACAACGAATATGTGACGCCGCGGAATGAAAATATTTTGTAATCGAAATTTGAATATTAAAAAAATAATGTCTAACAATTACTGCAGAACGCCCGCGATAAATTACTATAGCTCGCCGGCCCGTAAAAATGTATAATCAGAATTCATTTCGGACTTGGGGTGCAGAAAAGAGGTGTAAATATATATAGGTACATCCCATACGAACGGGGAAACGGACGTTCAGGTAGGGTTGTATGGGGTTGAGCGCCACGCCAAAACGCCATAAATATGTCGCCGAGACTTTGCTGTGTGTCTATGCATATATGTATATATATACACGGCGACACTTCCTCGCACCACGAGACACCGACACAATGTTATACTTGGTAATTGGTATCCCGTCATTTCATCGAGGTAATTTTGTCGCACGTCAATTCGTCGCGGTCAATTGAAGGGCTTGGTGATAAGTCCACTTTTTTAAATTGTTTAGTGTGAATAAAAATCAATTTTTTTTAATGGCAAAAACGTAGAAAAAAATGTTTCTACATAATATGATATAAAATAAAATATTATTTTAATTCTATTAATAGTAGGTACCCAAAAAGAATAAACACATTTGGGTTTTCTACATTCTTAAGATTTTTCAAAAATAATTTTCAAAGTTAAGTTGTCATGGAGTTATCTGGTTTTTTGGCACAAAATATTATTTTTGTTGCTGTAAGTATAAACAAAATATTTTTTTTGACCAACTTAAATATTGATATTAACCCAAAACTCTTCGCAGATTTCTTAGATCATATCTTAATGATCCATTGTTGTTATAATTTTGTATTCTGGAACCTTTAATATTCAATTAAATAAAAAAATATACAAACGTAGGTTATTGAATTTTTCGTTGTTATGGTTATTTCATGTTTAACACACAGTATAGGCAGAATGAAACTTTAAAAACACTTTTATTGGTTTATTTAATTTAATAAAAAGCATTATTTAATATACCATACTATAAATATTTTCTAAATAGTAAATATTGATCTCTTTTAATATACCACCTACCATAAATAGTTATAAATTAAAAAAAAAAAAATTTCCATTCTGGGTACAAGAATATTTTTTCTTGATTAAGTTAATGAAACAAAAACTGAAAAAATAAAAAAAACATTGTTACAATATACCACAGTATAAACATTTTTTAAATACTGATCTTAGTATGATCTTAGTACTGATCTCTAGTATGGACATTATTTTTTTTAATTATAACTATTTATGGTAGGTGGTATATTAAAAGAGATCAATATTTAGAAAATGTTTATATTATGGTATATTGTAACAATGTTTTTTTATTTTTTCAGTTTTTGTTTCATTAACTTAATCAAGAAAAAATATTCTTGTACCCAGAATGGACATTTTTATTTTTTTTAAATTTATAACTATTTATGGTAGTTGGTATATTAAAAGAGATCAATATTTATATTAATTGAAGTAAAACTAATCACTGGTACATAACGATCAAGATAGCAGAGAATGATAAATATTGATACTAAAATCAACAGTACTACAACTAAAACAGCGTGACCACAGTTTGGTGCAACAACAAGATAAATCCAATTTCATTAAAAATCATATATATATTTATCGGATTTAACTGGTTGTTGCACCAAAATGTAGATAATTTTTTCCTACCCAATAATCCACGAAAAAGTGTGTGAGAGTTAGTGACTTTTTAAGGCCACCAAAACCACCCATGACGAAAGGGGAACACTTTCCTCATGACCTGTGAGCCGCACCGCGTGAGACCCGAGGGTCAAGTCGGTGGAGCTCACAGGCTTTGATACACGCAACGGCAAGCTGAATGCCGAGGATTTATGTGGGGAGAAAGAGAGAGAAAAAAAATAAATAAGTTAATGAAAATAAATAATAAGAGCAATATTAGGGTAATCACGTGGATGTATTTTACAGGTTTTTTGATTGTAGATAATTTAAATAAGGTTTTGACATTTTTCAGTTTAACAAAAATAAAATATATAGCATGGCACATGGCAAGTAGGTATAAAATATAAAAGGGCACATGGGAAACAAAAAAAACAACGCTCGGCCCACGGGGATCGACACATCACATTACTCGTGGTGGTCTCCACAGGGTTACCGGGGCAGTTTAAATGATTTGGGGGGGAAATGAAAGTTCGAACGTCTGTAAGTGTGGTCCGGGGCCCCCTACTTAAACGCGCACAGGGACAGCTGGTTTTTTACGCCAGCTGTATGTGAACGCGTAGGAGGTTACCCGCTAGGCCCCAATGGCAACCACACCTGGACGTTCTGAAACGCACATTTCACAAGGATCGTGCTTTTAAGTGACAAAAAATAAAAAAAGAAGGGGGGAAAATTTTGGAGGTATTACTCTGACGACGTTGAGCTTGAGATGTGTTGTTGACCGAGGAACTGGATGGGCTGGTTAATACCACCGGCACACACGCGGCCGGCATGGCCCATCTTGTCGTCGATCAAACCGCCTCGGATAGTGACGGCGGCAGGGAGGTTGACTGGTTCAGCAGCTTTACCCACCATCGGGCCCGTGAGCGGTACTTAGCCCATCATGGCGGTTGGTTCCCGTCGATTAAAACAATAAGATGAGATTCACACGCGAAGTGATGGTGGTCGACACGCGGTTGTGGTCGTCGTAGAAAACTCGGGATGCGTCACGGTACCGAAAGTCGAAACGTCTGGTTCGTTCAGCGGTCTCGGAAAATGTGTGTAAAGACGGCTGATGTTGTCTTGCCGCTGGTCGTGGCCGTTGATGTTGACGTGGTGGGGAAGGTCAGTGTCGCATTATAGGGACGTTTACAATAATAATTGGGAAAACAGACTGCTTTGTCGGTGCGTATCGACGGACGCGACAGTTGCGACCGGCGGCGACGACCGGCAACGGCAGCGGCCTGTTGGCGGGCGGACACTGCGGGTTGTGGGGGCCGGGGTCAGGTGTTATGTAACATTGTGGTCATTTATGCATTGGCGCGCGATAAATATAATAATATCATAATGTAATCATAAGAAATAATAATAATGAAAAATAACATGCTCAGGGGAACTATAATAATATTAAGTAAGGCCTAAAATTCTGTGACGTTACAAGTGCATTTTCGAAAAAAGTGGACTTATCTTGTTGTTGCACCAAGCCTTTAAGTTGGTCGCAAGGACGCATACGACATTTAGTCGAGTGTAATATCGACGCATGCTACATTGATTGGTCTCGCGTCATTTTATCGCATATATTTATATAGGTATATAGCTAGTATTAGATAAAATAGATTATCTACAGTGTCTCTTTTTTTTTAAAACATTTAATAATATAATATATATAATAATTCTATCGTATCTTTATAATTCAGTGGTAGTGGTGTAGTACCTTCTTTATCATTAGTTATCATTGGTTTTTACGCGAGTCTTTATCGAATATTCGAATTATTACAGTGTACCTACTCATCAGCCATCACGAGTCTCTACTCTCTCGATTATAGTGTTATACAGTACCACCTATACTAAAATGAAAGAAAATGCCATCACTACAATTATGCCTACACGAAGTTTATTAGCAGAGACATCTTCAAAGGTAATTAAATATTATAGTTTTAATATAGTTTAAAGGACGCAACACCTGCGATTTTTCCTATTGTTATATTGGTAATCACGATATTTGTTTAAAAATACGTAAAAATAAACTGGCTTTTTATAGTAATTTTAAAATTAAATATATTTTTTTTACTATTTTTAATTTTTTTCGTACATAATATTTCAAAAAACTTACTCATCGCTGATCGCTCATCTGTTATTGTTAGTTTTCGTATTTTTCAAGTTATCAATCGAGACGATACTAAATATTTCAATAATTTTGATTATAGGCTATTTATATTATAAATATTATAACATATTATTATATTGTTTTAGTTACCATCCGAAGTGGCAGGTCAAATGCCGAATCCTGGAAAATGTTTAAAAAGAACAATACAACGGGTTAGGAACATTTCTGAAGCCGTTCCTGCAAATCCACAAACATTAAATTTTGAAATTCCTGATCAATTCAGATTAACTTTAGACTGAGACAATTTTTTGTTGTACCACAATGTCTTTGTACTTTTCCAGTATCGCTGCGAACACGATTTTCACGCGCCTGGGTTGAAACCAGTGGCGGATTTAAGTGTTCAAACAAAGTCGGCAAATCAATAAGATGGGGGCCTCTTACAAAATTTATCAGTAACATATACTTATCCCCATTTCACAAAACCGATCTCTTCGTTCTCGAGAAATAATATCAACCAATAATCAATAACATAGTAACAAATCTTCTAGTTAATAATAAAAAAAAAAAAAATGCTAAGTTTTTATTTATTTTTACAAATAAAACAAAATTAAAAGTAGGCATATAAAATTCCTGTGTATAGAATGTAGATTATAATTAAAATGTAGCTTGACGAAAAGCCATGCAAATATATAAAAAAAAAGTGAAGCCATAAAATGTTTCATAATATTATAAAGGTTTAATTTGAGTTACACACTTTTAAATTTCGTACTATACACTTTACTTTTTGTACTACACACAAATTTTAGGAGACGCTATGTACACAAAATTCGATGATGAAATTACCATTTTATATTATAATTCACAAAAACAATATAGTGATGGACCGGTCGGCTAGGTTGGAGAGTGAATTGGTGGTGTGGAGGCAATTACTCGTTGCCTCTATTTATAATTTTATACTTAATTTAATAATAATAATACTTATTTTAAATTTCAATCAATACTTTATACTGTTTATAGTTATAACAATTGTATAGCAGTTGTAAGAAACAATCTCCTAACCCGTTAAATGTATAAACATAATAATATGAAAAACATAGTGCAAACGCATTAAATGCACAGCTCGGTCTACCACATTTTTCAATATTTATTACGAATTTATCGCGAAAACGATTTCCAATAAATCATGATTTACGCTGCTGATTAAGTAATAAAAAGTTTGTTATTATACTTACAAAATTATTGTTTTTATTTTTATGCAATCATGAATTATATTATATATTAATTTATAATTATAAATGATCTTATTTGTGATCAATATGGTAGTGGGTAGAATGTAGAATACGTAACTTAGATTTACTTAGGTATATAAGTAATTACTTCGATCTTTTCTACTTTATTTAACTATAATATTTTCTACTTTTGAAGTATTCCTATACATTTAATCTATTTTGTTATTAAAACAATGGTAAATTATATTCTAGTTTGAAGTATACATTTTTTTATGATGTGCTCAATTTTTTATGATTTTAAAATTTAATATTATACATTAATTGTCTTACATTATACTGACACTCGTCAACTATGGATACTTGTCAAACTCAATGATGGTATATATTTATTGAAATATGTATAAATTTTAAATTATACCTACTTATAAATTATAGGTAAATATAATAGTGTAATCCTTAATCATCGGTTTATCATTTGATAACACTATACACGACCGATATGAAAGGTAGGGACCCGACATTTCGTCAATGTCGTGTTACGTTTGTAACGACCAAAATAATTATTTCGACGTTTTCAATAACCATTTGCTCGTTGAATTGCCCACCTACACTTCAACCAGACCTCGGGGTAGACGCAATCCAAAGCGACGATAACGACCGCACTGTCGCATAACTGCAGACGCCATCGGACGTAGTGTCATTGGGTCTCTGCAGCGAGGTACACGTATGTCGATAATATGCTGTTGGAATTTTCCCGACAACGCCAACGCGATAATAATATAAGAAATTATTACAGTGAAAATAATAGCGTGCAATAGGTTAGTATATATACATATAATACACACACACAGCATACGGGCGGCTGTATAATGTGATAATATCATATTGTACCTAAATTATAAGTATTATGCTGCTGAGTTGTCGGTTTTCGTCGTGTCAATATAACTATATATTGATATTGTCGATATCGTTTTATAATGAAATATAATAAAACTAATGCATTATTAGATTTTATTATAACATATTATATAGGTACAATAACTATTAAGACAACCTGCGAATACAAATTTAAAACATTAACACCTGTTGTGAAGTGTGCACTCCTATTGCCCTCAATATAAGACATGCTGAATAGTGAATATTATAATAATACCGAAAAGAAAAGATTTAACATCCAACGATTTTACTTTTCATTGTTAATAGTTTATGCTTTATAGTTTATATAGGTACCATATCACTCTTAAAAAAAAAAGTTATTTACGTATAGTCTATATACATTTGGAGGACGTTTATTTGAGTCGTTCTAAATTTTAATTGATAATAACTAATAAGTAATAATCCTGATTTAAATTTCTAATTAATTAAAAAAAACATAACAATTGTGAGTTTCATTAACACTAAGCCACTAAGGTATGTATAATAAAACTGTAATATTAAACAAAACAAAAAAATAAAGAAATAACAGGATCGGATATATTTTATGTCGGCGATTTTTCAATATTTTCGTTTTCATTTTTCAAGCAAGCTATTAGACAGCACGACATATTTTCAGTGTTAATTACAGGAAAATATTAAAAATGCTGGAAATGTGGAAACCAATACGGCAATACTCAACTTATAATTTGATATTTTAGTCGCACTTTAGTTACTTATCGCATCGCTTGCTAAATCGGTACGAATGACAAAAATCGCATTCTTTACGTAATTAATCGAAAAATACCTTGAAGCGCGTATATCGTGTAAAATGTACACGATGAACTTATCACGAAAATTAAGCCATTTCTATTTTACCTAATTTGAATTTACGTCAGTTGCCAATGGGGGGATTACCGAATAATAATATTTTTAATTTTTTACATTTAACATAATATTATTATTCTCTCACTGTCGTCCGTTGACCGTGGCTTCGAAAAGCAAAGTCGCCTACAAGTCTATAACAGTTATTACTAAAGACCGGATTTATATGTTTTTACATATCGTTACTGGGTCTATGCAGTCTTATGAGAGTAAAAAATGTGGACGATTCGTTCAATTCTGAATGCGTAGAAAAAAGTTTTTTTTGCATATTTGAGAATATTTCATGGGTTAGAGAATATTTAACCCATTTAGCATATTTTGGAATATATCGTAAATTGTGAGAAAAAATTTCTATTTATTTTTAATTTTAATATTACGGTACCCAGAAAATTTTTTTTGAACATTTACAATTTTTTTTTTTTTTCATATTGATAAAAGAAAACACGCAGTGTTATACACAGATATAGATAATAAACTATTAGACTAGATTGCTAACTATAGTGATAACAGCCGACGCCAAAAAAATGTCATGTTGTTTGTATGGTGCAGTTATCACCTGTTAAACCGAATTTATTATTATATTTATTATCTATGTCTGTGTATTATCACCACGATAAATATTGATAAAATACCATAGCCTACAACCTACTTACCTACATGTTGAAAAATTGGTCCATCATAATACCAATACGCAAGTATAAACAATATGTTGCTGTGCCGTTCCCTAAACAAGGCTAACCTGCAATGCTGGCAGTTGTATTCTTACTGATAAGATCAACGTATACGTTTATCAAATATTCAAATATCCAAATTTCGTTTTTTACTATAGTTGTCTTATAATTACTTACATATTTAAGTGTCATTTTTAAAATGGACAAATTATAAAAATCAGTGAATTATAAAAACCTTTTGAAACAATGGATAGAACCACATAACAAAAAAGATATTGTTTTAAAAGTGGACAGCGATTGTGTGGTGTATTGCCAGGTATGTAATAAAATGATAACTTGCATCAAGAAATCTCAAATAGTACAGCATATCAACACAACATTACACAGCAGTGCTTTAAGACGTAAGACAGATAATAAAAAGCAACTGTTTGTATTGGAAGCTAAATCTAAAAATCCAAATATTTTTAATGAGGAACTTTGTGCATCTTTAATATCGGCCAACATTCCATGGAATAAATTACAAGTTCCTCAGTTTAAAGCTTTTTTAGAAAAATATACTGGAAACCACATACCGGACGAGAGCACTCTCCGTAAAAATTATCTTGGGCCGTTGTTTGATAAAACTCTGGATTCAATAAGAATTCTTATTGGAGATTCAAATATATGGTTTACTGTAGATGAAACCACTGATTTAAAGGGACGGTATATTGCAAACCTATTAGTTGGAGTTCTTAAAAACGATATGCCTACACAACCATATCTTATTTCATGCAAAGAACTCGACAAGACGAATCATTCTACAGTATCACGATTCATAAATAACAGTCTAAAAACATTATGGCCTTTAGGTGGTCATGATGAAAAAGTACTTTTGATGCTGTCAGATGCTGCACCATATATGGTGAAAACTGGAGATATTTTGAAGGTATTTTATCCTAACATTATACACACAACTTGTTTAGCCCATATGCTAAATAGAATAGCTGAGAAAGTCAGAGAAATCTATCCAAATGTTAATACATTAATTAATAACATAAAAAAATCATTTTTAAAGGCACCTTCTAGAGTTCAACTTTATAGAGAAGAACTTCCAGGTGTTCCTTTACCACCCGAACCAGTCGTTACTAGATGGGGCACATGGATTGAAGCTGTGATTTTTAATACCGACCACTACTTAGGAATAAAAACTGTAATAGGGAAATTGGACAATGATTCAGCAGCTAGTGTTGAAAAATGTAGACAGATGTTCATGTTGGATTCAGTTAAAAATGATATGATATATATAAAAGCACATTTCACTGATCTAGTTACGGCAATGACTAATTTAGAACAGTCAAATTTGACTTTGGTGTCATCGTTAAAGATTGTACAAACTATTATCTGCAAACTAACCAATATGGCAATATACCTGGTGAAAAGGGTATTATAATAAAAACTAAAGTGAATCAATTATATCAAAAAAACAAAGGTTACCAAATGTTAGAAAAAGTTGGGAACATTTTATGTGGAAACAATGAAGATCTCCCAGAAAATTTCACACCCAGTGTAGTGGCTGACATGAAGTTTGCTCCTCTAACATCTGTCGATGTTGAACGCTCATTT